AAGGTAGTATCTGTCGGAAGCGTATGGTAAACAAAAAGTAAACAGTTGAAAACTAATAGTTAACAAGAAAGAAAAAATTGTAGTTTTAAACTGTTAGCAAAATTTACTTAAACAAAAATTTTCAAAACAAAAATAAAGACACCAGTCTTTTGATGTGTTAATGATTGCTCATTCAATGTATTTAATTTCTAATTTTAACAAATTCACAGGCTTTTTTTATAAAACAAAAAAAAAAGAGCTAATAAAACAATAGCCTATCTATGAATATTCAAATTGTTGACGTTATTTTTCTAAGCAAACAGTTCTTGGGTTACCAATAAGACAAACGAATGTTTCACATTTGAAAGTTGCATATGATGCATATGCCCGGTAGTCGCTAACTCTTTTCCACTCCAATTTTTTTTTTAAATTACAAAAAAGATAAAATTTATCCAAAAAAATCTACAATTGATTAAAGCAGTAAATTTTGACTGAGTTTTCTAAGTTATTTAACCTGCAATCGCAGAATGTATATAGAAAGAACAAAAATCGTTGCCTTCAAATTTGTGAACTATTTACAGCCTGTAGGTAACCTAACAAAAACAGACTTCCAATATTCGATCTTCCATATTATGCCTCCAAATCCGACTCAAAGCCTAAAGAATAATGAACAGATTATCTGACCTAATTAGCTTTAGCCTCAGGAACTGCCCCCCTCCCCTCGTCACGCTATACTTCAAAATCTTCATACCGTATTGCTGCTCCGTCATGGGAAAAGTTTTTTCCTCCAAAGACTGCTTGAGACTGTCATTTGTTTCTCATTCATGCCGTCCCTCTGTTTGGCAGAAACCCTCATTTTGAAGTCCTATTTATTCGCCTGTAAAAGCTATTTTTTCAGCTTCTTCTTAATTTTTTCCTATTTAAAACTGTGCTTCGTTCTTTTATTGCGTCGTATTGTTGAAATTTGACTGCTTATTTTTCAATGATCCATTACACCAATCAATTCTGGACTTTCTGTGACTGAGTATACTGCCAAAGGTTTACACTAATCTTCTGGAACCGAATGCTACTGGAGAGCGCACTGTAATTCAGCGATCATATCTTTGTAACAATTACTGACAAATCACTTTTTATCCGTTTTTTTCCAAAAAAGCCAAAATTCAATGGTTTCCAGCAAAAAAAAAAAAAGGAAAAAAATTGTGAAAACATGATTTAGAAGAAAAGGTTACTAAAGTTGACTTAAAACGGATAACCTTATGCTTACGCTAAAGATGGTCAAAGATAACTTTTTATTCCTACCATCTATTATACAAATCAGCAAACTATCTAAGCACCAACATTCATTAGATTCCTGTTTTTACGGTGAAAATGAGTGAAACTTCAGCAAGAACGGTATTTGTCAAAAGCATTTTCTTCTGGAGTGACATTCGCAAGCATTTGAAGGACAGAAATTAATCTTTTGGTTTACAAAAAAACTTTTTTGTAAAGAAACATGCTCGCACAGCATTTTCTACCTTTTTCCTGAAATTTTATGTTGCTTCCGTTGAGATCATCTGAGTCTACTAAGTCAGTAATACTAAATCAGTAAGCCCCCAGTTTAACTTATTTGTCAGACCATTGTACACAAAATTAGGCAAATGAGTCAGTCCAAAAAGGTATACTAGCGAACAGGATTATACGGTCGTAGTAAAGTGTAAGCGACTATCCCAACTTTGAAAGCCGCCAATTGAAAAGCTCCCGATATCCCGTATTGATAGTTGAGCAAAAGGAATCACAAGATTGTTTTTTCTCCCTCACTTAATCTTCCTAGTTTTAGTCGCTACGTTGCGAGGATCCCGCAAATTTCTTCAGCAGAACAGTATAAAATAAAATTTAGTGTCTCTGGTTACCTGTAACAGCGGATGAAAGTTTCTACGCTGATTTCAGTGAAAATTTGTTTCTATCTCAACTGACACGTCAAACACGGCACCGCATGGGTGCTCTCGATTACTAAGCCTTTTTGTTGCTATGTGGACAATGACTTCTCGGCAACTACCACAGCAGAGCTATCAGGAGCGTACGGTAGACAAGTTCTCATCGAGCTTGGAAGGATTAGGAAGCTAATTGGCATAATTCCATCATTTTTGCTGACATAGATGACTGTCGAACGGTCATTTTTTGTTGTCTTATTTGGTTTGCTGTTTCTTTTTACGAAGCTGTGAATTGATTGCCTCATAGTTGCCGATTACGCTGCTTATCCACGTACGACAGATGTTATTAACATTCAGAACATGCTTTTAAGAAAAAAAAAACGCTATAAATTTGGCGACATATTCTAGGAGAGTTTCTTCTATTTTTGAGAAACCTTTTAGAAACAGTTCGTATTTTTCATTTTTATAAACTGGATACGCAATGAAGATTTACAGGACTGTGAAGAAGATGCTGTCTGATCTTAATGGTAAAGTCTGAATCCCTCCCCAATTCATCGTTTTCTTTTAGGCAAGAAAATACAGATATGTTTTGTATTTTGTATTTCAGTTGTACCATCATACAGGTTGTTCGCTAATTCATCGTTTTTTTGAAGTAGGCCGTCGATCTTCCCAAAACATGCTTTTGTTTTTCACAGCTTGGCCCCTTGTATGTTCACAGATTTAGTTGTTTTTATGAATTCTGGTGGTATTTCATTCACATAGGGTAACTGAGGCAAGACTCGATATGAGAGGATCTTTTTGAAGATCAGGGCACAATTTTTACACATTGACAACTAGTTAACTGCTTTTGGAAGAAATAGAAATAGAAAGACAGAGATAAAATGTAGCCTTTGCTTCTGAGTCTTCGCTGTGTTTTTATTGTGCGGACAAAAATGTTATTCTTCTGCTTACAATCTTTCAGCTATCGAATAGAGGTAATGTTGAGGAGCTGTTATCTTTGTAAAGAAACTTTCTGGAAATTTGTTATTACGGACCTAAACAGTTTTTGACAGTAGCCCTTATTTCACATCTCGATTATTTTTTACTTCTTAAATTTTTTGTCTGCGGGCTCACTGTAGCTGTTTGCAGAATAAGATCGGTTAAATTTGCATAAATTTTTTCTAGTTCTAAGTACAGCTTATGGTAAGCAAATTCTATATAGAGCACCATAAGCAGTCTGTAAGTGTTCTGACTATAAGAACGGCCAGTAAATTTACTAAGTAGATATTTGGATTTTCAAACGCTAGCACCTTGAGAAATCCTGTCGCGACATAGCACATTATCCTAAAAAGGATAACATGTTCTGTTCTGTTCACACTAGCCAGTGTTCCTGATAGAATTTGTTTTTTTTGTCACAGTTTTTGACTTAAGATTGTAAATAATTGCTCTGAGAAATATTTCGTTTAGTTAACCGTTCCTCTTATGAATATTAAAAGGGTTGTTGTGCAGGAAATAAATTTTACAAGAATTCTTCAGAATACTAGATACGAATGCAGTAGTAATTTGTCAAAACTTCTGCTGTGGTCCAGTAAGGTTTTTTTTGCATTGATGCGCCTGTATGTGGAAGTTTTTTAAGGTTAAAATCAA